TAAATAGCCCTCATAGTGAATAGCGCCCTCATATTGGCCTCTAAATCGCCTTCATAGTGAATAGCGCCCTCATATTGGCCTCTAAATCGCCCTCACCCTCATAGTGAATAGCGCCCTCATATTGGCCTCTAAATCGCACTCATAGTGAATAGCGCCCTCATATTGGCCTCTAAATCGCCCTCATAGTGAATAGCGCCCTCATATTGGCCTCTTCATCGCCCTCATAGTGAATAGCGGCCTTGGTGAGGTTTGAGTATGGTATAGAAATGTGGTGTGCTGTGCTCTCTGCTTTGTGCTGTGTGCTGTGTGTTGATCTCCATACTCGCACCACAACGAGATGATCGTCAGGCGGACACATGTTTTGGAGGAACTGCAACCTGCAGGTGTTCTTCCCCATGGCTGCAGTTCATCCAAAACGGCTCCCATGCCCAGATTAATCTTCAATTGTGCTCGCCTCTTCATCGCCCTCATATTGGCCACGCAGCCCTCATGGCCCTTGCAAGGCCATCATGGCCAATGTGGTCTTCATCCTTCTAGGCCTATATGGTCTATTCGCTCTCTTGTACCTCCCGTTGCTCCTCGGGTGTTTCACGGCGACTTGCCTTTACCTGAAGTGAAGCAACCACGGTACTCTGCGCTCCACTGTTTATCGCCCCTCATGGGGCACTCATGGGGCACTCATGGCCAATCTGGTCTTGATGCATCTCTCTATTCCGTTCGCTCTCTTGTGCCACTGCAAATAATTCCTCCAGGTGTGCCGAAGCGAAGCAACTATTCAACTGTGCTCGACTGTTCATAACCCCTCACAGGGTCCTGATTGATCTCCTTCTGTGTCCTGCTCGTGCTGTTCTAGTGTCGCTCTCCCCCTCCCCCACTCCCCACTCACCCAACATTTGAACTATTTGTCCCCCATGTGTTTCGAGGAGCCTCCCTCTGCCTGAGGCAAAGCAACTAATCAACCGCGCTCGACTGTTCAAAACGCCTTGATGCATCATGGCCCTCATGGCCAATCTGGTCTTGATGCATATTCTGTTCGCTCTCTCTCTTGTACCTCTGCAAATGATTTCTCCAGGTGTTTCAAGGTACCTCCCATTACCCGAAGCGAAACAACTATTCAACCGCGCTCGACTGTTCGTCACCTCTCATTGGGCCCTCATGGCCAATATGGTCTTCATGCCGCCCGATGGATTCGTGCTGGAAGCACGACCAGAAGATTTTGACAATAATTTGTACGATTATTTGGCGTATGTTTCTGATTTGCATTATTATCTAGTGAAAGGCATTGGTGGGAAGGATACAGATATTAGAGTGGATATGGAGGATGAGGAGATTCACTCTACAATGGTAGTGAGCTAGACTACGGGGGTTGGCACGAACTACTAGGAGTGATTGTAGCTTTGCTTGGTTCCTTAGCACTTGCACATTCACGGGAAAATTTGGCTAGAGTTTTCACTAGCAAAGATTGAGAATACAGAATGATTGACCGAGCAATGACAACAATGACTTCATCAGGCGCCTAGCAACCCTGCAGCTAGCCTGGTCGACCGCCAGCACTGCATGGTCGACCGCCTGCCAGCGTTGCGTAGAGGAGTCGCGCCAGCACTGCAGAAGAGCGACCTGCCAACACTGCAGGTCGACGGCGTGCCAACGCTGCAGCTGTGCGGCTGTCCAGCGTTGCCCCGTATACGACAGCAGTGCGCACGCTCGCAGGTGTGCGCAGATTGATTGGCCCGACTTGCCTCATTGGGCATCCGTCGGCTGTTGTCTGCGCCTGACGAGCCACATCGACTTCGGGATACCAGCCCGAAGTCGCCTTCGCCATCGCGAGCTCGACAACGTTCGCGTGTCTCCGCAGAACTCGTCGAGCAGGTTACCCGGTCGACCTGGACACCACCAGGTGCTCCGGTCGACCACCACTGCCTCTGGTCGACCACCAGGTCCCTCTGGTCGACCGCCAGGTGCCCTTGGTCGACCACAGCTACCCCCTGGTCGACGGACCCCTTCCGTCGACCAGAACCGTCAGCGGTTGTCGCCGAGATCCCCTCGTCGACCGCTGCGCACTTGCCAGGTCGACGGCTGCTCCGTCGACCTCCCCGGTCGAACTGTAGGTCGACGGGATGCTTCGTAGACCTCCCGGTCGAGCTGCAGGTCGACGGGATGCTCCGCAGACCTCCCCGTCGGTCGAGCTGCCCCTCCTGGTCGACGGCCCACCCGTCGCCCAGCCCAGTCAGCTGCAGCTGTCGAGCTCCCTGGTCGACAGCAACACCACAGCGGTCCCCTGCAGCTCGACAAAGCCTGTCGAGCAGCTCTCCCACTGTGAACGGTCGGCTGCTACTCCCATACATCCGACCAAAGCGTCGGCGTTGCCCAAGCGAGGGCGGGGCCAACACTCCATTCCCATTAACAAAGGAGATGGTAGGGGTGGTGGATGTGATTTCTAAAAAGCTGATCGCACAAGGCTTGTAGCCCATTGTGTAGGACAACAATGACAACAATGGAGTTGTGATGCAACTTTTTTTGTTCAGCCAATAGTGCGATTTCTACATACAGAGGTGGATGAGGCCAATGGCCTCTCCCTAGCATTTGAGGCCGCCTGATGGACCAGACGGGCCCTCCGGCCCCGTCTGTTCCATCAGAAATTCCCAAAATTTCCGTGTATGCTCCATCAGGAAATTTGGAAAACTCTTCCTGATACATCAGATGTTTTTTTTTTTCCTATCAAAATTCATATTATTCTTGCCGGTCGTGGAGTTATTATTGAAACTAATAGCAAGTATAATAATACAGCAAGGTCTGGTTGAACTGAACATCCTACTGAACTTATGAAGTATCGAACATCCTACTTATTAAGTTTCAGCACTAACTAGGTAGCCTAGAAACAGGCTTTTCACTCAGAGTCAGACGACTCCAGGGTCACAGTCGCCCGCACATCAAGACTTGCGTCCTCCTCGTCCTCGTCGTCACTGTCAACTGCACGTGCCTTGCACTTTTTCTTCCTCTTTTTCTCCGCCTCTGTCAGTTCCTCGTCTTCCGATGCCTCTGCAGGGCTCTTCCCTTCTCCTTCAGCCTTCCTCTTCGGAGCTCTCTCGTGAAGGCGTCCCTGCATCGTTACTTCCTTGGCCGGTCGACGCTTCTTCGCCCTCCTCCATGTGGCCACAACTTCGTCCCAGATCGGCTCATACTGCAGCAAAGAGATGCACATCAGTGTCAGAATATTATGCTCTAGCCTGCAGTGGGGTACTCTATAGCGAGTACAACCCAATTAGGGTTTCCTATATGTATGCCAACTGCTGCTAGTGCAAACTCTCCTTTCTTCATTCTTACTTTCTACAGCTAGTTCTGACATGCTATCAGAGCAGGTCGACCCTCCTGGGTCGATCCTGTGGGTGGGCCCACCACCTAAGCCTTCCGCTGCTACTGCTACTGCTACTGCTACTCTGTGTGTCGCACGCCTCGTGGCGTGCGACGGATTTTTCATCCCGCCGTGCGCCCCGAGGTGTGCGGCGGTTTTCTGCCCGCCGTGCGCCCCGAGGCGCGCGGCGGTTCTCTGCCCGCCGTGCGCCCCGAGGCGCGCGGCGGTTTTCTCCCCCCGTCGCCCGCCGAAGCGCCCCCGGGGACCCGCGCGTCGCCCCCGTCGCCCGTGCGCGGCCCGTACTGCACGAGCGCGGCCCGTACAGGCTGCGCCAGGCCCGCGCGCGGCCTGTCCTGCACGCGCGCGGCCCGTACGGGCTGCGCCAGGCCCGCGCGCGGCCCGTACAACCCGCGCGCTGCTCGTACGGGCTGCGCCAGGCCCGCGCGCGGCCCGTACGGCCTGCGCCAGGCCCGCGCGCGGCCCGTACGGGCTGCGCCTGGCCCGCGCGCGCCTCGGGCCGCCTGCGCGCGGTTCGTACGGGCTGCGCCTGGCCCGCGGGCGCCCGGTCTCCTCTCCCACTGAGCTGCACGCCGTCCCTCGCGCTTCTGACGGCGCCCCACCCCTGCTGCTGCCCGTACTCCTGAATTAGGGTTTGGGGGTGGAGCGTATGGGGGTGCCGTCTCTGTCAGCCGTCCCCTGCTCCTCCTCCTCCTCCGTCTCCCACTGCTACAGCTGCCGCTCAGGGGGGTGGGTGTGTGGGAGCCGAGGGTTTAGGGTTTAAGGGGGGTGCCATGGGAGTGGAGCTAGGGTTCAGCAGGGGGTGTGTGTTGGGGGGTGTGGGACAGTTGGAGGAGGTTGGGTGGAGGCAGCCGTCGTGTCGTCTGCAGCGCCTGTATTCCGGGGTTCTGATAGCCACCGGTAGCTCAGAGAGCCGGTTGCACCTGTCGCCCGTGGGTCCGTTGCTCCTGTCGCTGCTGATCAGACGCAGAGCCTGTTACTCCTGTATTCCGGGGCCCTTGCTCCCGGTAGCCACTAGAGTTGCACCAGAGCCGTCTGTTGCCCGTGTGTCTGCAGCTTCAGTCGTCGCCTCCACTCTTCTCTCCTCTCGCCAGCCCTCCTCCTCCTCACTTGCCCTCTGTAACTGCCTCTAGCTTTGCTCATAATTGTGCACTTTAAACTATTGCTTCTTAAACTTGTGCTCAGAATGTGTGGTGACATTGTGATCCACCCTGAGCTTGTACTGCTTTGCTTTCTCTGCTGATTACACCCCACTTTGGCTATGGGGGTGTGTCAGAATATTATGCTCTAGCCTGCAGTGGGGTACTCTATAGCGAGTACAACCCAATTAGGGTTTCCTATATGTATGCCAACTGCTGCTAGTGCAAACTCTCCTTTCTTCATTCTTACTTTCTACAGCTAGTTCTAACAATCAGGTCTGCCAAGCGAGCATTGCACAGGTTAGTTCGAAGTCATGACTATATCACATTCTGCCTCGAGAAGCCCCGCTCGCACTCGACGGTGCTTAAGGGGAGCACGGCTACAGCGACCCAGATGCGAACCATGTTGGGGTAGGAAGACTCCCAGTCTTCGCTGCGCAGCATGTGCTTGAGGCTCGAATGGAACGTCTGGTCCTTGTACTGGGAGTACATCATCCGCGTGAATGGCACGAGTTCTCGTGCCGCCCTTTTCCAGCTGACACTTGCATGATCACATGCGGGCACATACAGATGGCGGTGGGTGGGGGAGGGGGGGGAGGTGTTAGTGCATGGCTCGCACTGTCAACATCAAAAGACGTCAACAGCAGCGTACCTGGCAGCGCAAACTTGTCCGCCTTGAAGAGCTCGCAAAGAGACTGGAACCACTCCTGGCAGACGCGCTCTCTCTTCGCAGGGCCATCGGGGTAAGCGTCAGGCAGAAACAGCTTCGCGCCGACGAGCGAATCAAGGCTCTCCATCCGCTTGAGGAGGTGCTTCACCACTTCCTGCGCAAACAGGGAAGTGACAGAGATGCAAGACTCCATGTCGCCCTTGGACTTCTGGCCCTTGATTGCTTCCTCATGCAGTTCGAATTTGTGGGTGACTGGATAGCCTTCCCCATCCGTGCCTGACACCGTAACCTCCCTCTTGGAAGTGGGGTCATGCTCCTCCAGGAAGCGGCTCAGCAAGTCACTGTCCTCGGCGTAGTTCACGCCGTATTCAATGTACCCAGCACGCAGCCTTCCTGCCGTGTTGTGCACCATGGCGGTCACACGGGTGATGTCCACCTGCACATATCAGAAGGGGTATTGTTAGAACGATTCACGGTTCTCATAATCAGATTCACGCGTAACCAGCGTTAGAGACTCACCGTCCGCCGCTGAAACTTCTGGTTCAGTTCGTTGAGCTCCTTGAGCACATCTGCCAGGAAGAACAAGAAGAAGTGGAACTTGAAGTTGGTGACCATCTTGTATGCGTCTTTGTCGTGCTCGCAAAGCACAACAACAGTCGCAGGAAGTACAGCCGCGAGCCGCTGGATCGCGTCGCCGCGTGACACCCAGCGGACGTCCTTTATCCCCTGCAGCTCAAGAGTAGTTGCGTGGAGGATTTTCTGCAGCTCGATGAATCGTGAGTGCACGATGATTTTGCGTCCGAGGCTGTCGGCAACGCTCCGAACAACCTGATCGACGATGTTGAGATCAGGCACTGCTTCCGCGGCGTACTGCGCTGCGAGTGCCTCCCTGTAACGTCACAAGTTTACAAAAAAGTAGACAAGGCATCAGATTTGAAGGTCGAGTGAACATACTAACCGACACGGACAGATGGGAGATACATGCCTGTGTGCGATGCAGTGGCACGTGACAAGGTGCGGGACTTGCATCCGCAGTTGAGTCACCACTCCAGCGTTACAACCTGTCATCACGCTTGTGCCATCCGTGGCGATGCCGGTGAGTTTGCTGATGTCAACACCCGTAGTCTCCAGGTGAGCGAGCAGCACGGTCAGAAGTGACGAAGCGTCGCACCTCTCCACCGTCAAGTGACCGAAGAATTCGGTCACGACCTTAGCGTCTCGGAGGAAGGACAAGTAAACAATCATATGTTTACCCCTTCGCCGGTCTGTGCTCTCGTCCAGATGAATGCCGAGAAACGGTGAAGATTGGACGTGGCGCATCTGGTGTTGCTTCAGGTTTGTCACAAGTGCCTGGGTCATCTCGCGGAAGCCGTACCTGCGCAGCAACCACAGGAAAGGTAAGATGGTTGTGAATAAAACAAACAAGCCCGGCAACGTCCACATCGATACGTACTCGGATTGATATGTTCCGATCGCCTTATCAGGTATATCGGGCGTCCCCAAATCTGCCAGTAGGCGCACAAGATCTGCAAAGCCTGAAATTGGGGAATCTGACTTGCAGATATACAGCACCGTGAGCAGGAGTTGCTTCAACCGAGCCGTCTCCTTGTCCGCGTTCTCGAAAACGGCGATGCTTCGTTGCGCGACCTTTGCGCCTTCCGCGCGCAGCTGATTGTCGACCGCGTCCTGATGCTTCTTACTCAGGCTATGCTTCCGCATAGACTGCCGCTGAATGTCAACCCCGCCCTCGCCGAACTTCCCGTACTTCCAATGCGGAGGACCATGAGCCATGCAAATGCTGTACTTCATGCATGGCGTGCCATCTTTCCTCTGTGCAATGACAAGCCAGCTGAACTTGCCCTTCCAAAAAACTTTCGCCATCGTTTTGAGCTTTGACATCAGACTGTCAGGATCAGGTACGTGAATGGCAGACGGACCAGGATCTCTGTCTTGATTCTCGGCCTGTGCAGCAGGCCGTGAAGACGCCTGTTCTCGCGTAGGCCGCACGGTGGGTCGAGAAACTATGCGTACGTGAGGCACACCAGTCTTTGCAAAACGGAAGGTGCTCTGGGTGAAGCGCCCCACCTTATGGAACAGTGGCGTGGCGTGTGAACGTGCGGCACTATCGGACGACTGCGCTCTCTGAGATTGCAGAGGATGGTGAGAAGGAGGCCTAGGCGAGACGGGAGGTGTGCTGCTTGAAACTCGACGAGCATTAAGCTTTGGCCAATTCACGGGCACCACTTCAGCGGCTACTACGCGGGCGGTTCCTACGGCAGCTGGCGGGGCCCTACACAGAAAGTCCAGGCCCGTCATAGGTCTACGGGCCTGCGGGGGGGACTTTTTCCCTGCGTCCTCGTCGTCCGCCATGGCGAGGAGACGGACGGGTTTCGAAAATGGTAGCGTCACAGCAGCAGTTACTAGCGTGAATGCTGTTGGAAGAGGGGAATGGAGAAGAAGGGACCCCTGAAACCCCAGCAGCCGTGCATCTACACCTTGCCTTGGTCGAAGCGCGCATGTCGAAAGGACCATGGGATGGGTGGCTCCACTTGTTTGTGTGATGCCACCGCATCTTGGTTCTTGAAGCTTCGGTAGGCGCCGAATTCAGCTCGCTGTGATGTGGAAGTGGCTCTGCTGTCTCTGATGGACCAATCCGACCCTTCTTATCAGGCCACGTACAACACACCCGGTCCTCCGTGGGCAGTGCATGACGGAGACTTACCTTGTGTTGGTCAGAATCAACTTCTGCTGCAGCCTCGTCTACAATGGTGGCCAAGTGGGTCACGTGTAGGGACGAGGTGCCAAATGAATGGTGTTCACGACCCGGTAATCGGGGAACACCCTGCATGCACGCATGCTGAGTTCACGCCTAAATCACGCCTAAGGGAAAATGTCTCGGTATCAGACGAAACCGAAACATGTTCCTGATTCATCAGACAAATCGCAAAAGCGATTATTCTTCATTAACAGGTTTGTGTATCAGATAAACGCAAAATCCATTTCTGTCTAATCAGATGAAACCAAGACCATTTTCTGGAAAACCAGATGAACCATAAAAAAACCGTCTGATAATAAGACAAACAGACAAGAAATTTCTGCTAGGGAGAGCCCTGGAGGCCATGCGTTGCTAGTCTTTGTTGAACAACTCCATCATGTGGCAGTTAATTCTAGTTTCCTTACCGGTACCACTTCGCTTCAGCCATCATTTGCTTCTGCCAAACCAAACGCTTTGAGTGGTACCGTAAAACCTCTTATATTTGCATGCATACCGCCACCAATTCTCCACTCAATGTTCACTCAGATTAGTGATTACATGTTAGATCATATTGTAATTGCTATCTCAATCGATTGCAACTGTAAGAATACTGAAGAGAAGTTTATGATTAGTTAGTTCACCAAGGTAAGACTACACAAGTGTGTAAGCATCTTGAAAAAAACAGCTGAAAATAACTGTTCTATTTGGCTTTGAACGCGGCTTGGGAGCCTTCGCGGTTCGCCAATTTCCATCAGCCACACTACAATGCACCACGTAAGTGGAATGCAGGAAAAATGAGTCGGCGGCACGGAGCTGAAATTCCTGCACGGAACGGAACTGTAAGTTGGCCTCGAGCTCGGGTCTATCTGAAGTCCCAAAACTCATTCGAGGAAACTGTAAATCGGCCCACGATGAGCTTCAAGTCCCGAAGTCACTCGTGGATTCATGAAATCACCATTTTGTTGATGTGCCTTTTTGTCATTTGTCCGCTGAGGTATTCTAAGAGGTATGCACCAACTCATTGCTGAGCACTCAGTGCCCGCCGAGAAGCTATTCGCTGCTCAGCAGCCCAAGTGAACGCCGACCTCACAGGATCCATGAGCGCCCGCTGCAGCTGCAGTTTCGAATGCCCGTGTTCATTACACATCGGCACAACAGACGTGCGAGCGAAGCCAGCATGGTACCCGGCCGGATGCACTGGGCATACGCGAAACTGATTATAGCAGCTCGTGACTCCTTGCGTCGTCACGCGAGCATTCACTGGGGGCGAACTCCATGGCCGCTGGCTACTCGCCGATGGTTGCGACGCCACGACTGTCGCGCTTGGCGTCTCAAAAACCACGCGATCATTCACTGGGGGCGAACTCCGTGGCCGGCGCTGGCCATTCGCCGATGGTTGCGACGCGACTGACGCGGGCAGTGGGGTTTCAAGTTTTTGACCAAGTTGGTACAGCGGATTGGGCAGTAGTCTTGTCACCGCTGCGTTCGCTGCGGTCACCGTGGAGAGAACCGGCGCGCCTGCAGGAACAGGGGCGCCTGCACGAACAGGGGCGCCAGCACGAACAGGGGCGCCTGAAATCGCAATCGGTGAAATCTGCTGCCTGCTGTCGCGCGCGTGACGGTAACAGCTGTTCGCTGAGTCGGCTGCCATCGATGATGACGGCGCTGGGCTTTCTGGCCGTCTGTAGGTCACCGCTCCGCCTCGCCGCCAGACGAGTGCAGTCATTGCGTCATGCCAGAGCATGGTCGTGTCCTTCTCGCCCAGCGCGTGCGCGCTACGGGAGCGGCGGAGCTGCGAGTGACAGAACGCTTGCTTTCGCGCTTCTGAAATGACGGCGTTGCGCTGGCCTTCGGCTATCCGAGGAGTCATTTCCGTTCAATCATGCTATCATGCGCTCGCTTTTGCTGCGTTTAAGCTGCCGCACTGCGCGGACTCCGCGGGTATCCTCGCGCCTATTCTCAAACACGAGCTTGCTCGCACGATTCCATGAGTCCAGCGACGACTTCTCCAACCACGCCGGCTCGTGTCGCGCGGGTCGTCGTTGGCGGCAGTGAGTGCGACGAAATGTTGCAGCAGCTGCTGTGACAGCCCGTGGCCTGCGGCCTCTGGTTGTGGCTCAGATGACAGGGCCTCTGGTTGTGCGCTTCGGTGCGCGCGGGTGGCGTCGTGAGGATCAAATGCGGGTTTTCCTGATCGAGGCGTCTCCGGCTGAAACCGAGTGGTCGGACATCGCGAAAAAGGAAAACTGTGTTTTTTGGCCTCCGAAGGTTTTTCTGCGTCGGCCTTGCGAGAATGTTGCGGAAAGCTGCGGGAAAACAACGCACTCAAATCGCAACAGTCCGCACACCAAAAACGATAGAGTACATCATACAGAAAATAGTGACTACACAGCCACAATACCGTGAAGCTTTCGAAAACCCGAATCGCACACCTACACCCCTAGTCGCTCTCCCCCTCTCCAATTTCTAGCACAAATGTCCGCGGTATTGTAAGTGCGGTTCGTCCATTCTGTCACTGTATAACTTCTTATCCCAATTAAAGTTGACTCTTACACACAAATGCCAAACATGGCTTGTAAACTCCATTCCACATGTTCTCCCATAACAGCCACTATTACATCAACAAGACAACCCCACACCCGTCAACCAGTCGTACGGTCCCGCGCACACACAACTCCCACTACTTTGCCCCACTGCACGATCCTTGCATCACTCGTCGTCCTCAGTCTCGCGCACCGCTGGGTCTAGCACGTCCTCCGGGCGCATCCCCGCGCGCGCACGCTTGACTGGCGTCCTGCCGAGGCGGGAAATCACCTCCTGGTTAGATGCTCCGACCTCTGCTGGCACGAGGGCCGGGGGAATGCCGAGCGCGTCGGCACGCTCCACGTACGCATTTGTTACGTTGCGAATCACGCGCCGCCTGCTGCGCTCGTCACGCAGCAGTGGGCCGTCTGGCAGACTCATCTCGCCCGACGAGTCATCCGACGCGCTGGCCGCAGGTGTGGCCCTAAACCCCTGCTCCACGCAGAGTCCCGCGTCGCAGTTGACAAACTCGGCCGCCGTCATATAGCACGCAGGCCTCATCTTGAACTTCTCGATTAGCAACTGCAGCTCGACGCATATCGCAATGAGGGGCTCAAACATGCCCGTTGCGCTCGTGTCACCAAGGTACGCCATCAGTGGCGGCCAGCTCGGTGGCACGCATCCGGCGCGCCACCAGCTCCTCTGCATGGTGACGGCGCGCACGCCAGTCCACGCTTCTCCCAGCCACTCGAGCATGAGGCCATAATCCACGTCCGCGATCGAGGCCGAATAGTCGAATTGGAACCGCTTCGCCGCTATCGCACGCTTCATGAGCATAACGCGGTAATGGCCCTTCAGCGCATCCTCCACTCCCTGGAGGTGCGGAAGGCCCCCTTCAGGAACCGACCCACGAATGTTGACGATTCGGGTGTTGGTCAGGTGCTGCACACTGAAGCCGTGCTCCGTGACGGGTCGCGCGACCTCGCCTGTGATGCGATGCGCCTCGTGAATGGTTAGGATGAGGGTGTTGCGATCACGGCTGAAGTGCACACCATTGACAGTCTCCACGAACTCCATGAACACCTGTGTGCACACCAGCAGACAGACCGCATACCACCATCAGATGTACGGTGTGCACACTTGTGATGCACACGTCAAAGACGCACGGTACACACATATTACACATTGTCCCGTACCTCCGGCGTCAACTGCCCGCGATGCGTATACCGGACAGCCACCTTGCGACATGCCGCGCTCCCCCGCCTGCGCTCGGGCCTATCGTACGGCGATAGAACAACCAGAGGCACCGCGGAACAACTCCCCGTCGCGTTGTAAAGAATGCCGACGCTGACAATCCGCTCCGCCCCAACACGCTTATCCGGAATGTACGTCTTCGGAAGCCGGCTCGGGAGAAAATTAATGTCGTGGAAGCAGAACACGTCGTCCGGGTGCGCGGTAGCCAGCAGTCCCTTCAGGTCACCCATTGTAGCACTCTGACAACCAGGTTGGCAATTATGCGTTGAATGCCGGAAGACCCCGTACTCTTTATGTTTCACTCTACCGGAACCTACCCCCATTTTTCCCCTGTACGCACACTGCGTAAATCGGTTGACATGCCCCACACAACCAAACGACCACTACCCCTGCGCCGCTCGACGATAACGCACACATGTGAAACGCCCACCTGTTACGTTCAGACATGCCATCTCGCGTTCCCGACGCCACGTACGCGTCACCCATATCCGACCAGCCAACGGCATGTGCTCGGTCGTTCACACAACCACACATTGAAGCGCGTCAACCTCGACCGCACAAACGTCAACAGTGCTCATACTCGTTATGTACCTGACATTCAAACTGCACTCACCATTGACATTCTGTTTAAACTCTTGGGTCAACATTTAGCATACGTCAACTGTGCGGCCTACCCATGCACAATTGGCCATCTGATTGCCATGTACATGTGTGCACATTATATCATCCGTGCATTTTGTGTTTCACCAACTGCAACACAAACGGTACCATGACACCATCAATTCCAGCCACAATTTCGTTTACCTACTGCATTACTGTACCCATCCATCCTGCGTTTCACACATCTAAATCGTAACACGTGTTGGTTGCCAACCTTGTGGATCAGCACTGCCGTTCCTCCCCACCAACATGCATCGTCACTCACACAGCAAAAACCTGTTCACTAGTTGCACATTCTTGTTGCTATACGAAGGGCACACGTGCACCACTCTCTGCAGGCTCCTCAACTCCACCACCGAATACCTCACCTTATCCACTTTCTTGTGCAGCTGCTTGCACCCCGTAAGCTTGCATCTTCCCGCCCCCTCATAGTACCGCACGTATGCGTACCCCTTCCAGTCCCCCTCGCGGTCAACCGCCCTGAAGATGCACAGACATCTTGCAAACCAGTCCCCCTTCTTGTTGTTCAGCAGTGCCACGTCCGAATACCACCTCTCTCGGGGAGACGCCTTCACAAATGTCCCTTTTGCCACTAGCTCTCCGCCCCTTGTGCGCGGAATGGACACCGCCGTGTGGACCTGTCACACCATGGAACCCAATCCATCATCATATACCATCATGAGTGCAGTGACAACCAACGTGACAACCCCGGATGCGTCATGTAACGCTACCACATCATCACCTCACCTGCACGTTGTTGGTAGACAGCCCCAACGCCTTGAACTCATCTGCCATCCCCTTCATCTCGTCTCCAAGCGCGGCGGTGTACTCGTTGTACACTGGATCCGACTCCCCCCCTATGCGCATGATCCGATACTTCTTTGTAAGCACCGGTTTCCTAGTCTTGATTGCCTGCGCGTGACGCCCACATGCACACAACAAACCTCACAACGCGTGAGGCACAGCTCTTCCCTGGTAAGTCGCTCCACTATATACTCCCAATGGCCATCACCGTACCAAGGACACCCGTACTCGCCTCGCTCAATGCGGTCGCGTACTGTCGCCCACCCCCCGCGTCTGCAGCCACTTCACGGTACACCTCTCGCTGCACCTCCTCCTCCACAATGCGGCGTGGAATGTCGCTCCAGTTGCTCCCTCTTACTGGACCCTTAACCGTGCCCTTGTGCGTGCGCTCCCACATTTCCGTGGAATAATGGTGCGGCATCCCACGGTGGACAACGTTGTCCAGTAAGTGCCTTATCATGTGTATCTTTGGGAGCCTCCAGTGGGATGCCTGCTTTGGAAATGCCCGCGGTAGCAACTCCACCAACCTGCCACACCGTCCACAAAAGCATACAACACTCGATGAACCATCATGCATCCCCATCGTGTATCACACGACATTGTCCGCACAATCATACCGCACACGCTCCCAGCACCCCGACCAACCTCTCGGCGTACCCAGGTATGTACTCACGCTATCGCATGCTGACGTGCAATCGCAATTGTTGTATGTGTGTGCCTGTCAACCCCCAGAAACGCCTTGTAAAACACAGCAAACAGCCGGAACGCTTTGACCTGCAAAGCACGCAGCTCTCCCTCCTCTCCACCCTTCAATGCACTCTCGTCAGCCACCAGTATCGGCATTATCTGCATCATGCTCCTGTGCTCGAACGCGGCGTAATTTGCGCCTGAACTGAAGAACGCTGAGCCCACTGGGATTCGGAGGAGAACGCTAGGCGTGATGGCCTTGAACTCCTTCTTGCGTCTGCGCACAACACGGATTCGAAGAGCTCATGTAGCTGCACACATGGTGTCCTACAAACCAACTGACCCCGGCAAGGTAGAGCATGCCCAGTTCGACCACCCAGCAACACCCGGCTCACCGTTCAAGCAGCCGCATCTCAACCTTCCCGAGCGGCTCTATGAAGGTGTCCATCATGTGGATCAGCACACCAGAGTCCAGAACATGCAGCGTGTCTGCAAGGCATGCCAGATACACGTTGCCCCACTCTGTGTCTGCAAAATTCCACCTGTGAAGCACGTACTGCACGTTGCAACGGAGGACACGACGGTGTCAAAACGTGCCCACAGGAACCCTAAACCAGTATCCTATCAAAGTCGAAACACACCTCGATCGGATGGGTTGACCACAACCTCCGCACATCGTCAGCGTCGCTTTGCTTCTTACACGCCAGGATCTGTCGGACAATGTCCCTCTGCTTCTCGGGGGTACGTGGATCTACCTTCCCCACCATCATGGTCAACTCCCCCTTGTCTGCATAGCAGTTAGCGCATGGTCGATGCGACCCTTGCTGAAGCGTCGCAGATGCTCTGCTGGATTCAGGGAAGTCGGCAGGGTATCCGTACAGGCAAGGGACCGCCTTGTGCACCTTCCCGTCCGCGTCTGTGCAGTAGAAGAAGCGAACTGGCGCGCTGCGCAGTGTACAAATGCACACATGGTGTGCAGTTAGTGATGTTACATATACACAACTCGTAGTCCTCTCTCCACTCACTACTTGATGGGGTGCCCACCACGGGCGACTCCGTGTAGCACTTTCAACACCACCCCGGTCCCCCAGTGTACCTTGCAGACTCTCGCATTATAGGCGCGAGGATGATCTTTATCGCCTCCTGGAACACGCGCGTCTTCTCTGTAGACGATGCCCACTCAGGTGGGAACGGAAGCACCGCCGCCAATGTGTGCCCAGGCTCCACTCCTCGCAATTCCGCCGGAATGTTGATAAGCGAGATCAGCACCGGCCACGCGTTCCTCCTGCCATTCCGTGATGCCTGTGTGCTGTCACTGTATATCAGCACGCCTAGAATGAGTGCATCCTCGTCATTAATCTCCTTCTGCCATGTGCACCACACGTGCCGGTGAGCTGTGGGTATTCGAAAGCATCGTACCTGTTCTACTCCACAATTAATGGGCCGAGCATAAACGCGGCGCGTACCTGGGCTGCGTGCATCCAATCACCCGTCTCCGGTCCTTCAAACACCCTCTCGTTGTTCTTCTTCCGATGAATCTTCCTTGGTTTCCAAACGAACCCCTTCTTCGATGAGAACGTCCGCACCAGCTTCTTCAAAATCTGCGGGCATCGATGTGGAATCAGGCGCGAGTTATGGTAGGTAACGAACAGTGGTCACGGGCGACACTTCATTACGACGTCGCGAGCTGGGGTGGGCTCCTATTACGAACCAGCTCTGTGTCGCGGAAGTGCAGTAGCAGCTTCATTTGCATTCCTTTGGGGCCCCGCACCACTATCTCCTCTGTTTTCCAAGGGACCATGTCGGCGGGAGCGCGCGCCATGCCCCAGCGACGCACGTCCACCCAGTTGCGCCATCGTCTGAGGGCCCGTAGGTTGAAGCGCGGATTGCGGAATATGTGTAGCAGACGGTTAACCTCCCTGTGCGAGAGATCGGCGTCCCTAAAGAAAATGTACAACTCCGTCAGTGTATCGAAAATCTCCGCCCTCACGCTGTCTTCTGAAGACCCTGCATGTTCGCCCTCAGCTGGTGTATCCTCGTCTCCAACAAGACTGCCTTTGGGGATCGAAGCCGTTGGAGCAACAGATATAAAACTGCCATCATTCTCCTTACGCCGGGAGGCCGGCGGTGTGTTAGGTCTGCTCTCTCCGTCGCATGCGAGGGCTTCCAAATATGCAGCTAGCAAAAGACTCTCTCGTTTCCTCTTCAACTCGGCGCGACAAACTGCACCATTGGCGACATGAGACTGTAACCTGCTGTCGTCTTTAAACACCGTCTCGCACACCAGGCAACTGTTGCCCGTCATCCTACAGCCGTGAAACCCTAGGGGGCCGAGCAATCGAAACCCTGTTCAGTACCTCATGTGCACACTAATAAAACTCACAGGAACAACTTATCGCCCACACATGTGCAGGAAGACGATGAAATGTGTGCAGGAAACAACGGGTCATTTGTTACACGATAATCAATGTACACCCCAACATGGCGGTTTGCTAATTTCTAAAAGCAGTCTAACGGGTGCAATTATTTATTGGAAAAAATTATTTATGTCACGATGTGTCGAGAACCAAGGACTGATTATTTGTACATACAAACCACAACGACCCCAAAGTTGTTCTGCGATTTCACCTGCAATGTCGCGCAATGCACGTGTACACCCACACCTTTTTACATATCCATAAAAATATATCAAAACATTGAATAACCGCGTATACCAATACACGATTATCCCATCCCATGGCACAACTGCCAATTCCAAACGATGCTCGGCGCGCCCTAATAACACAACGACCCATGTGCCCCCTACCGCGTACGGGGACATCGGAATCTGCGTCAGTCGGAATGTACAAGAAAATCGCACCACAACTGGCCAAACCACCATGCACCAGGTTTGGTGACCCACCCAAACCTCGGACCACATATTCCGAAACCCTCGGCTCATCACACGTGGATCAGCATGTGACCTCACCGTCACATCCGGGTGAGCTGTCCAATCACACCTGGTGCATTGCATGCGATTCTGCGCCAACGGTGTAGATCATTGAGCACGGGCATGCTGTTCGCACCAGCCTATGCGCGAAAGGCATGGGTGACGCCCTGCAGTAGCAGCTTCATGCCGAATGGTGCCACGGTCGCGAGATCCGTGAGTAGCTGTGCTCACCCAGTCATCCCCTCCGTGCTCACCTATGAATCACTCTGCGTCCTCCGAATTGTAGTGAGTGCTCGTTCAGTATGGCGAAACCCAAACAGTTGGTCTCTAAGCGCAACCGGTTCTATGAATCGGAGACTAGCAGCAGCGGCGATGACGAGGACCCCGACCCGCCCGTCACCAGATCTAGGGCGTCGAACAAGGGCGACAATCCTACTACTCCCTGCCCGCCGACTCAAGACTCCGGAAGGGCTTCTAGGTTCGCGTCTCATGTTGTGAATAAGGCGATGGAGCCCGTGCCGGACGACATGGTGGCCGCTATCGCCCGGAATTATAAGAAGGCAACGTACAGCAACGTGATGCTCATGAATCACCGCGGTGTCGGATGCACGGTGGATAAGGACGACTTCATGTCAATCGAGGACGATCAGTGGATTACAGATGGTGTCATCGACTTCCACAACGTGTAAGTACCGTTATGACGGCCGAACCCTTCACGCAGGGCTTTGCGCGGTGGTTACTGATGCCTGTAGCCAGATGTGGTAACATGTACTTGTTCACCTCTTCGCAGGCTGCTTAGCATCAGGAAACCAACGCTCCGCGACGGGAAGACATGGGCCGCCATGGACTGCAAGGCTTACACACAGACGAATTTGCACGGTGCGCCGTTAACGCTTGGGAACGGGCGGCCGCTTCTGGAACACGATTATCTGGCGATCCCGGTGCTAGAATCGTGAGTAACGTGCATAACTTGTTTATCGATGGGTTTATGTTGTGTGCCATGGTGTAATGTCTATCCACTGACACATTTAACACCGCTCATGTTGCGCGCAGTGAGCACTATTCGCTGGTCATCGCAATAAATCCATCGGTGCTCACCAAGTCGCCGAAATCGAAGTGCAAAGAGCGCTTGACGTTGGTATTGATGGACAGCGCGATCAAGCAGCGGAATAGCCGCAAGATTTTAGCAGGAACAATGCTGTGAGTATGGGTTTAAACAAGTTCGTATACCGTAGCCTTGCTTGATCTGCATATTAATACCAGTTGACCTGTTGCGTTCAGTGTGCTGTCTGAGCTCGCAAAGGCGAGCTCCCCAAGCGCGAACATGGAGTTTGTGGACCAGACGCTGAAGGAGGCGGACTGTTGCATTTTACGGGTAAGTATGCGACGTTAACCGTGGACACCGATGTGCGGTTTGTACTTGATGGTGTGCATACTGATAAACAATGTGTGCGGTGCCATGTTGGCAGGAGGACAAGCTGCCACAGCAGCCTAACAAGGAGGACTGTGGGATTTTTGTTTGCCAGTACCTCAAGACCCTCGTGAATACCGACTTCGCCACGGTTCTTTCGGGCCTCTGGTTCCAGGGTGTGACACCGCACCAATACAGGAGGGAGATGCGGCGCGACCTGTGTGCACACGCGAGCGGCGCTCTTTTGCAACAGCTGCAGGACATGGGAATTGAGATCCCCCCGCAAGACGAAGGCCGGGTTACCGATGAGGGTACAGTGGTGCAGTTGAAGAACGCGGCTGTGGGAGATGGGAGGACGGCACCGGTCACTCGCCCTGTGGAGGACGCACGGGTTACGGAGGTGATGAGGCGTGTAGCCTCCTTGACTAACGATGTGAGGTACCTGAACGCCACCGTCACCGTGATCGCCAACTTTGTGGGACTGAGGCGGGACGAGGTCATGTCCGCTGCAACCCAACTGCTGCTGCAGGGCGGTCACCCGGGCACCGGCACGAATGCAGAGGCGGGTGGCAACAAGACTGCGCCTCGCACACCACAGCGTCCGTCTGCTCGTAAGAGGCGGGCCGACAGCAGTCCTGAGGAGGATGGCGTGCGCAACGGCACCAGGGTAGCGCTGGCCTCCACGTTCGCTGCATGTGCGCCTGCATCGAGCCTGCTCCCGAACCCGCTGCTCTCCCAAGGTGCCATACCTCACTGGATGTTCACGCGCGGGAGGCAGCTGCTCGGGAACGGTGTGCCACCTGGAGATGCCGCGTTGGGAGACACGCACGGGCAGGAGACGCTGAAGGGCGAAGAGGAGGAGGACCTCGTGTCCGACTCAGACGACGATGGCGAGGACGAGGATACGTGTGCAACCACGTACACGGGTGTGAAGCTGGACAAACGGACTGGCAAGTTCGGCGTCAAGATCTTGATCAAAGAACGTGGAAAGCGTAAGCAGCAGCGCCTGGGAGCATACACCACGGAGGAAGAGGCGGCATTCGCGTATGCCGCTGGTGCGTTCGTCCTGAGGCCACGCGACAGGATACCCAACACCGTCACCCTGTCAGCGGCTGAGAAGGCGATGCTGCGGGGATGCACAAAGAAGATTTGCAGATACTGGTGGAAGCAAGGAAGTGGTGGAGGTGGCGAAGCTGGCGTGACGCGCTGGAGAGCGTGAGCAGCAGGCTGAAAGGAGGGAGGAAGCGTGGGGGTGACACAGGTACATCAAAGAGGCGCAGGGTGGTGGAGAACAACAACACGGCTACCAACGAACCGGCGGCCCCCGAAAATGCAGATAGTGGGGGGACGGCCACCTTGTGCAACGGGCACGGCGGAGGTGCAAAGGAAAATGACCAGGAAGAGCAACAGTGAGACAGTGGTGCACAAGAGAAGACGGCAGCCACAGCTGCATAGTGGTTGTGGAGTCAAAGCATATGAGATACTTGTTCGTGTGTGTATTTTAATACTTATGTGTGAACACATAGCTGATCTTGAATAGTGTGCTTTCGTGGTTGTATGCCTGTGCGATCAATGCTAATGATTGTGATTTCACCACCATGTGCCTCTTTGATGAACGGATGTGGCCGGGTTGTTTTGTTCTCCGGATGTGTTATCGTGCAGTTGGTGTGCTGAATGCCGGAAAAGGTGTATGGAGTCCCTGAATACAGGAAACCGGATGTCTATACCAGAGGTAGCACAAACGATGTATATGGATACGGTAGTGTCACAAAGATGTGCGCAATGTATGGTTCTGCTGTGGACACCCGTCACCAGTATGATGACGTGCTGTTCACTCATTGGACGTTTTGGATTGCGGTCGTCCAGATGTGCACGAGGTATTCCTGGCTACCAAACTCCTCGAGTGAACGGTGTCGCGGTGTGTTTGGAAGTTGAGCTACCAACTCTAGGTAGAAAAATGGGTAGCGCGTCACTGTCAAAGCATCTCACTGGATACTTCAATTGCTATAATGGAGACCTCGATGGCTTCCGAGGATACGAGGGCCGGAGGCCGCTCACGTCGTGTCTCGCAACCGCCGGCATACCTGCGTTCGTCATACCAGTTGACGATGCCGCGAGGTCGGCTGTCGAACGGGAAGCGTGGGGCGACCGTTCCCAAACGCTTGAGCTTGTCCACTAAGGGAAAGGAGGTGGCACATTCAGAGCAAGGTATGCATAACGAGCGTATGTGGATGAGTCCCGACGTGTGCTGCACGCGATGTTGATCTCAGTGCTGGAACTATGGAGTAAAGCAAGATGCTAACTAGTGGTGTTGTGCTTCCCTGGTGTTTCTCTCACCCACAGATGACGGCACGGGTGCAGAGAGTGCAGATTCGTCCGAGCGCAGCGAGGAAGAGGACGAGGAAAGCGAAGACACATCGGCGCCAGGCTCACAAGAGGAATCCGCCGACGATGGATGTGCGGGAATATCCGCGGCCAATGCTGACAGGCGCACACATCAAGATGCGCGGGACACGGATGTGTCTCGAGGCGACGGCCGAGGACAGGCGGACGGACTTGTTGGCCGCACACGCGGGAACACCTTGGACGCCAACGGCGATGACGTGCGCATCCCTAGCCGGATCCTCGAGCAACTCATACAGGCGCAGGACAAGAGCGCCAAGGAGAACGCGCGTTTGGAGGCGCTGTTCTTGAATGCGATGTCTCGCCCTTCCGGTGGCTCTGGTAAGCGTAAAGCTCAGAAGCAGAGAGACCCGGGTTCGGGTTGTATGAACCCGAAGCGACAGCGTGGTGAGACGTGGAGTGGCGGGTCCGACGGCGACAGCGAGGATGACGATGACGATACGCATGGTTCTGGTGGCCGTCATATGCGTACCGCGAAGTCTCCTATTCTGCAACGCGCGTTGGAGCATTTGCCGACGGACAAGGCATGGAAGGTGAGCGGGCATGTTACCGTTGGGGCCTTTTTTTCCGTTCGTCGTGTTGGGCTGCCATGTGGGTCAGGTGATGGTTACCGGTTTGCACTTATATCATGTTTTGTGTACACCGTATGTGCGCAGAGGGTTTGCGAGCTGGCCAGGGTGCACATGTTTCTCAACAGGCCGACGTCGACGATGACCTTCTACCCGAGCAGCGACGATAAGACTCACGGAGTGTGTGCGGTGCTGGACCGCCTGCCGCATAGCTTCGCCTGTTTGGCGCTGGCGGCTGACAAGTCGCGTCGCGCGGATCTCAACAAGACGCTATCTGAGTGGAAGACAAGGGCTGCCGCACGCGTGCGAGACATTGCACTTCCCAAGCTCGGATTGTTCCGCGACGACAGGGACGCATCCAGCCCATGGGCGCCCGAGAAGGCACGCAGTATCGATAAGATCCGGGAGCGCATTGGTCTTGGCGCTGACCCCCCTGGTGAGTGCATTCTACCACTGCAGAGAGGGTTACCTACGTATGCTTATGCTGACCACCTCGTGGTTGGCGACGGCTGACACTGACAGTGCGCATGTGGTGTGCAGAAACCCTGGTGCTCACGAGCTGGGCGAACGACCGTGACGGCATGCCGTTTGCCTCCCGGGCGTTCGCGACATGCGCGAAGGCTGCATTCAGGCCCAAGAAGGCCGGGCTGGTGATGACACTGAAGGTGTACCACCTGGCCTGGTTGGAGCATGTGGTGAGTCTGTGCGCCCTATGCGAGCCATGTTTTCGAGTTGTACCGCCGCACCATTTGGGTGACACGCTGGGTGGTGGATGCGCAGGTCTCCGACTGCGTCCTCTACTGGGAGGAGAGGAAAGGCCGGCTTTCCAACTCGGCCGGCGGCAACGCACACGTCGTGGACGGCCTCAAGGTCCTGGTGAAGGAGGTCGTGGAGAGGGCGATCAGGATCCGCAACCCGGAGTATGACGCGGAGCGAGAGGCGTGGATCTGGGGGCGCCATGGACTGCGCATCTCTGCGTGCGGCCTGGAGCACATGAAGCCCACCGCCGCAGCTCAGTCCGAAGAGCCTGAGGGGGACGACGACCTCTCGGCATCAGTTGGTGATGAGTAGGCCGAAGGGCGTGTGAGGGCGTTCAACATTGAGGCGTGCACCGTTGGTGGGACAGGTGGCTGGTGTCGTGGAAGGCAGCGTTATCGGTTCCGTGTCAGGGTTGTGCGCAAGATTTTTAGTGGGCACTGGATGTTGCATATGTGGGCTGCGAAGCTAGTGGGGTTATTTATATGCATGGTTACGTTGTATGCTTGTGTGTGTGTGAGTTGTTGATGGGAGAAGTATTCATTGGGGTATATGCGCATTTGACCGTACAACAAGGATACCCGTCGGTAGCGAAACACCGTGGGAATACCGTCAACCAGGTGTTTCGTTTGGCGCCGACCGCGCCGCAATTTGCGGCGCCTTTCACGGAACGTGACAGGTGTCACGGAAATGTGTGGACGTGGAAGCACCCGCGGGGCGCAAGCGTGGACATATGAGTGGATACAATGGATAAGATATGATGTCCCACCAATTGCATACAATGGTTGCACGCGCTCAAGTACGCGTGTCACCGCACGGAGCGAACGCCGCGTCGAGGTTAACGGGGGGAACGCACTGTGATATGCGGTTAGAGTGCGAGTGGTGTTCGGTTTTGATTGATTAGCGAAGACGTCGCGAATGCGAGCCACGATGAGATGGTTTAGGGTAACTGTATGTGCGAGTACACGATCGCACGGCAAGTGTACGGGGTAGATCGATTATTTATGCGTGACGTGTCAGCACGGTGGTGGATACGATGTACATGGATGGACGATGCAGATGGCGTCGACAGGTAGTCGCGCGTGCGTTACTACTGGTTGGCGAACGAGCTGGCGAAGTGTACGATACGGGGGCGACGCGACAGGTGTACGGTGACTATGAAATGTAGTGCAGGGTGCGGACGGGGAATGCGCAAGTGTAGTGAGGCCACGTGGTAGCATGCTAGTGGGTATCACCGGCGTGGTTTGCGGTTACCGCCCCTGTGGGTTGCCTCCAACTGTCATCTGTGTACTGGATGTGCGTCCATCAGATGTACGGTGCAGAGCCGCGCGCGATGTTGGCGCGAGCATGTGCGATGTTGTGTTCGCGAAGTCGTAACATGATGTGCGAATTTATGTGCAGGCGACACGTGAACCATTGAGATTGCGTGACCCTAGTGTTCATCCAACGGTTGGGGTGCGGGTACGTTTTGGTGCATGTACGCTGACGTGGCCATGCGGGTTGAAACAGGGTGCCACGTGGGTGTGCGCGTACGGAGTGGCAGTTGGGGTTGCGTACTCGTAGCTTTCTAGTCGAGTGGCACGGTATGGTTAGGTAAACTTTTGTGTGGCGCAACCCGTTACTGTTTAGCAACTGCCCAGATGCGGGTGCAGTGGCTAATTTGATGCACGCATATGTACAGAATGTCGCGGGAAAGTGGACTCAAAGTTGCTTTGTAAGTGACTGTCGCCATGCAGATCTAAAACCTTGACTCAAAAGTGCCGTGAAAAAAATATAGGGAATGTTGAGTAAAAGTTTCTTGCGATTTGCTTTTCGAGCTTTCCTTTTTCGCGATGGAGGCGGTCGTAAGTGCGGCGAGGAGCTTTTCGCACGTCTGGCGCTGGCAACGGGATCTGCGGGCGACGAAGGCTGTGATAGTAATGCGAACTGCTGAGCCGTAGTCACCATCAATGCACGAAACGCAGCCGTAGCAGAGCGAGTACTGTGATAAGGAAGATTTTCATACGTTTCAGAAGCCATTGTTTGCTCTATGATTGAAGTGCTAGTCAGCGGGGGAGTCCTGAGGTGTAAGGTGAATGTGAGTGAGGCTTAGGGCGGATTCCTGGCTTCGGGTCATCCGCTCTTCGAGTCATCCGAAAATGTGGGATCCAATCGGAAATCCTGAATCTCGAGATTGGGAATTTTTGATTGGTTCCCAAAATTTCGGATGATTCAAAGAGCGGATGTCCCGAAGCCATGAATCCGCCCTTAGACGCACAACCCGTAACAATTTATGCTCTCATCGCGATTGCCAGTGCGGCGAAATGAAACTGTTCCGTTTTCGTTGCATGGCTTCGCTTGACTCTCTGAATTGTTGATGATTCACGATCCACGAAGTAGCATTAGGTCGTCAATGCGGAGATAACTCTAGCAACGGGAGCTTGACTACGGTGGAGGCACGTGTATGAGAGAGATCTCTGCGTTCGTTCCTTAGTCGTTTCCTTGTGCGCACACTACTTGCTAGTTCACGGGGAGAATTGGCAAGAGTTCCACTAGGAAAACATCACAACAAAGGTTCAGAATGATAGCAACAACATTGGCATGCAAGGCTACATCAGAGCTAGCACAGCTGCTGGTCGACCTCCAGCGCAGCACGGTCGACCGCATTCCAGCGCAGCAATGCTCGCACCGCTCCAGCGCTGCAGAGATGCGGCGCGCCAACGTTGCAAGTCCACGGTGTGCCAACGCTGCAGCAAGTCGGCTGCACAGCGTTGCACCCGCAGGACAACGGTGCACCTGCTTCGCAGGTGTGCGCGGCTGGTTGGCGTCCAACTCCTCGTCACGTGCCCAGCGCAGACATTCCCGCCCGTGACGGCGCCCATCAGCCACGTCGACCTCGGGATACCACCCCCGAGGTCGTCCTCGCAGAAACCACCCCGGCGACCTTCGCACACGTCGCCCGGAGAGGTACCCCGGTCGACCGGGCAAGCCCGCCTGGTCGTCCTGCCCAGTCGGACGCCGGCTACTCCAAGCCCGGCGTCCCCATGTCGGCGTCTTGACGTCCTGGTTGGCGTCCACTCGCCCAGGACGCTGTCCAGGCGCCCAAGTCGGCGTCCAGCCTCCCCGGACGCAGTGGTGTCACCCAGGTCGGCGTCCAGGCGCCCGGGACGCCGAGCAGACTCCCAGCTCGGCGTCCAGCCTCCCGGGACGCCGTGCAAACGCCCTGGTCGACGTCCAAGCCCCCAGGACGCCGAGCAGGCGCCCTGGTCGGCGTCCATCTGCTCGGCGCCCTTCAACTAGACGCCCACCAGCTCCATGCCCTTGCAGTGGCCCCCGTGCCCACTGCTGCAGGTCGGCTGCATCCCCCCGCACAACCGACCACGAGGTCGGCTCCGCCCAAGCGAGGACGGGGCCAAACATCACTCCCGTTGACAGTCAATCTAAACACACTAGCATCGAGCGCAGCCTTCTGAGTCCCGCGTACGTAGTGGACGTGGGAGGGTAAGTGACTTGGAGTAACGGATTGGGGGCACGTGATGCCTCGTGCTGTATCGCGTGAAAATAAGGCAAAGCGCGAGCTGGTTTGTACACCTCGCAAAAAGTAACACGCCTCACCTTGTGATGCGTAAGATTTTTTTTTTGTGTATATAGATTTGTCATAGATAGTGATGTTGCCATTTTCGAATCCCCTTGATTTTTTTACTTTGGCCGGGCAGCTGAACGTAAAACGTACGTAAACGTATACGAAAAACGTACGTAAACGTAAGCGTAATATCCAACTTAGCTTGCAGGCGTGTGCACAACAACTAATGGAGCTGAAACGTTTAAGGGGCAGCTCGGTGATCATGTGCTATGGGATCTGCATGAGGACAAGGACCTGCATGATGAGTTGTGGCATGTACCAGTGGTGCCTTGGAGTGAGGTGGCACCTGAGAAGGAGAAGGGGACTTGCGGCTGCAAAGGAGAGTGTGCTGCAGTGGCTGCTGAAACGATTAAGGAGCTGCAATCAACGGTGGAGATGCTGATGCAGCAGTTGAAACACGTTAATGCTCGGCTTGCAGTAGCTAAAGGGCGTGCATAAGGGTGACACTTGTGAGCAGCAGAAACCTGAGGTCAAGGTGCAGCTGAAGAATGCAGTTGCTGAGGAGAGACCGGTGGTGCTAAATGTGACATGCACTGAAGCTGATGCAACGAAGCTGATTGGAGAGCCTAAGTTGGACTTGGCTGATATGGAAGCTGAAGCTACTACGGGTGGCCGAACAGTGTTCGAGGTTCGCCCGAACACGTTCGTGTTCGGGCCGCTGCTGCAATTTGCCCCTAGACGAACACGAACGTGTTCGATGGGGTGATGATTCTGTAGGCATCTGGTACGGATTCGCGAAGAAGAAAACCATCGCAAATCTATGGCTGAGGAACGTAGCAATCTGATTCGCATCTGGCGGGGAACGTAGCAATTTATGGAAAAGTGCCGGTTTTTTTAAAGAATACATCCTGTCGTGTGAATGTAATGCTGAAAATAACTCGTGTCAAGGTGTGTGAGGACGTGTCACGGTTCGCCTCTGATTGCATTTGATTTAGTCGGACCTAATCTGACTGGGTTGCCCCTGATTACATCTCTCGCGCCGCCCGATCAGTAAAAATATTCCTCGAGGAGTCGTATGAGGGTGTGCAGAAAGCGTGCCACCATTTCCCGACAATTTCGTGTCCACTTTGCCGAGGACGAAGGCCACAGCAAAGATCTAGCGAAGTTCAATGTTGCCCTGTAAATTTGTTCGAGCAAGTGTGCAGGAGCATGTTCTTACTACAGTAGTTGTTTGAGCGAGGGATTCACGAAACTCGACACAAAACTTTAGCTCATCGCTGGCGTCGCTTGGTACCCCAAACCAGTTGAATCAATTGATTGTCGGTGATTGTGTGGGATCGTGTTTGATTGGGCTGTTTAGGCGGTTGATCGAGTTGGGGCGATCAGCTGATCGTGATCAAGTGATTGCCCCCGATTGCCTGAAATCGTCTCTTTAACTTCCTGGAAGTTATGCTCTCCTCTTATCGGGGTGATCAGAAGCGAACTACAGCACGTCCTGACGTCAAGCCACTTAAACATTGATGTTTTTAACACTCGTTATCCCCTACTACTGAGCACTTTCTACAGGCACTCTATGCTCTCTTTCAAGTCCTACGAGTACCTGCGACTTCTTTATTTTTTTTTTTATTGTTAATGTATTACATGTGCATGCATACATCGTTAGTCGTAACTTCTTCGACTTTTCATGTGGAGAATCTCAGCGGAAACGGGTCGTCAAGCCTGACGACCCTCTGACGACTTGACGACATGCTGC